TGAAAAAGTGAATTTAAAAAAAGAAAGGATTCACTTTCCAGTACTCAATACTTACTGCACCCGGTTTAAGGCTCTGCAGTTCTGCTTCCACAACCTCCAGTATGTGTTGCTATACAAGAAAAAAAGTAAACTTCAGCAGAAAAGACTCTGAAACCCTTCAACTATACTTATCATTAGGGCATTGCAGTATACAGGTATTTTCATCATACTGCGGCATTCAGTTCTCATGATAATCATACTGACTCCTAAATTTTTTGGTATTGCCATGGGAAAACCATGGGATACTGCCTATGTTCATACCATCACCACAATAAGGAAACCATAAGATACTGCCGCTAATCATACTGTCGCCATGGCACCATATGAAAAACCATTTTAAAAAATAAACTATTATGCTCCCTGTTTCCAGGTTTCACAGTTTCTAGTGATACCCACTGCCTGGGGAAAACCAAAACCTTCATAGAAGTCACCAGAGTGTATTAAATCCAAATGCAAGGATCAAAATCCATCATTTATGGGTACACTTACACCTTGGCTGTGATCTCTGTTCGATGAGCCTGAGCACTCAATATCAAAATAAAAAACCTGCAGCCATGCACAATAAGATGGTTTCTCTTCAATGATGCTTCTTTTTTCCCAGATCCATAATTTTGAGTCCTCCCAGCAACTTCAATTGCAATTCCTGGGCATGCTTCTATCCATTTAGGTTGAGATGAATGAATCCCCTTGCTCTCAATTGAATGTCATAATACAGGTGTGTGACTAGCTCAATGCCATCATAATAGAAAGACTCATTCTCTTTGTGGATTTTTTTTCCTGGAAGTTCATAACTGAAGTATATCTCCTCACTGGTATCACTGATATACCATGGTATTTAGCCATGGTATACCTGCTGAGAAATTTATTGCATACCACAATGCCCTACTTATTGCCAAAAAGAAAAGCACTACCTAGAAGGAGTTAATCCTTTTAGTGCCATGGGAACTATATACAGGGTGGCCCAAAAAAAGGGCACTCTTTTCAATGTGCATTTTAGGTGTGATGCTGTCAAGGATAATTTTTCTGGTTACCTGTAATGGAAAGAAGAAAGACTCAGCTACAGAATGCTTTTTTTTTTTCAGGCTTTAAATATCTTAAAGGATGACTTAGAAAAAATTTATTAAATTTCAGTTATGAGAAACTGGTGATGCGCTCACCAACCGCATATGGCGGCAAGCACATTCAATCATCCTTGTGATGTCTGCTGAGGTCAGCGTTTCCCTACCCCTTTTTGTGAATGTCAGGATGTCGAGTGGATGTTGGGTCAAGTTGGTGAGGGCAAAGCCGATTTTGTGTAAGTGAAATTCAGTAATTCTTTTCTAAATCACCCTTTAATGAATTTCAAGTTTGAAAAATGCATTTTGTAGCTAAGTCTTTCTTCTTTCCATTACATGTAACCAGGAAAAATATCCTGGTTACATGTATCCAAAGGTTGGGCATTTTCTGTTGCCCTTGGGTGGTTTCAGACAATTTCAGCACCAAATAACTTCTCTTATTCTATCTGTGCACCTTGGTTGGGGGCAGTTTACTGCCCAGCTAGGTAATTGCCTATTTAGCCAATATCTTTCTTTAATATTAGGTCCATTACTATATATATATATATATATATATATATATATATATATAGATAGATAGAATAGAAGAAAACTGCGATGTTCCTCCCAGTCAAAGCCATGCCGGCCTCTAGCCGGCCAAAGCCAGCCTCTAGCCCATGGGCTAGAGGCTGGACATTTCCTGCCTGTTGCCGTGGGGTGGCTTTGACTGGGAGGAACATCGCAGTTTTCTTCTATTCAATCTGTATGCACACCTTGAATGAGTGCAGTTTCACTGCCCATTTGGGTAATTGCTAATTTGGCCAACTACTTTTTATATCTACGTTCTTTACTGATATATATACCATTGAACATATTGTCATGCAAAAAGATGTAATATGGGATGCAATAAAATATAATTGTTTTTATAGAAAGTTGAAAATGACCCAATATGACATTTGCTTATACTTAAAAATAGTCTCTGTATCAGAGATGCTCCTATGAAAGCAGCAGCAAAATTTATTTTGGGATTATATTCACTATCCTGGGAAATCACTCAATCTTTCATGGCATCACTGGAAAATACTTGCCCACACAAGATTGCAAACAGACAGAAATCTTTTTGGACATTTTACTACACAGTTTATAGACCTACCTATTCAATCACTGTTTTCTGCCCCAGTAAATACAATAAGCAGATCACAACTCTTTGTTTTTCTTCATTAAATTAAGCTATTTACACCTAGTGTCTGAAGCAAAAAAGTCAGAATTATTTTTATGCAAAATATAACCAGATAACATGGAAAGTATAGATAATTTAATTAACAAATCAAATAACAGCATGACGAAATAGGCGTTTCTCTCCCAAAAAAGGGATAATTATAACTGTTTATATGTGCCTCATACAGATGTACTTCCAGACTCCTGACCCCTGGGCAGTGGGGTATTGTTTGAACTAGAATCATTATTACATGACTGACTTCATGCTTGGAAACTATGCTGATATTCCTTAAAAATGGCTCTTGAACATTGACTGCCTCACCTTTTGCTGTTCTTCATCCATACCAACTGTCATTCAGATTCAGCTTCCTCAGAAAATTATGACATCCTGGAAAAACCAAGAAAACCATTTCTTGCCTTGAAAATCCAAATGATGGTTTGATTGGCAGCATTAATTTGATAATTCTCTTTTCACATCCAATGTTTTCATCTTGAAGTATATGCATACATTTATACAATTAGAAGTTTGCAATTGTGCCTTGAAAGCGCTCTTTTAGCCCCCAAGTTTGTAATAATGGCAATTATTGTGGATTCCAGATTGATTCCTACTACTGGACATGACATCAGAACTGCTTTCCAGTGATAGAGCACATGCACCTCCTTAAAGACTTAGGGTGGTAGGGGATCTTGATTTAAATGGAGGATGTTTCTTCTCCCTTTATACCATAATTGTAAAACACAAAAGCTTTAATGAGTCCACTGTTGGTGCAATGCCTTGAGTACATAGTTTGAAAAAGCTGTGGTGCTGTGTAGACAATTGACCATTGTGCATTGTGTCACTAGTTGAGAGGTCAAATTGACCTAGAGGTCTCATTTAGCCCCTGTTGTACCTTTTAATTCTTCAGGGTTCAATTCAAGTCACAAAAAATGCCTTCACATTTGCCTTTTGCTGGTATTCAGAATGATGTGTTACACCTGGATCCATACACCCCATGTACCTACACTAGTTAGACTTGGAATTTGAAAATGAGATAAACAATTAGAATGTTCTACTTCCCCCCTAGAAAGAAATGAATATGTAATATGCTGTGCCATAAACAATGAAATATGAGAACTTATTTTCTTTCAAATAAATGTTACAAGGCTTTTAAAATAAATTATGCCAGCTATTTTTCTTACTTTGTTTACATTCACCCAGACAATTTCATTCTTGTGATAAGATTCTTTCAATTTTGAAATTACCTTGGGAAATGAAATTTTTTTTTGACAACTTTGCATTAAATTCCTTATTTCAACCTGAAGCAGTTTGTACTTTAAAAGAAAGAAGACAGGTAGAAGAGAAAATCATTGTTTAATCATTAACATCTAAAGAGAAATGGTATCTTAGAATATTTATCTCTTACTAGCAAAGTCTCAGCTCAACAGAATCCTGTAATGGGTTATTCCCCTTAAATAACAGATGAAAAAGTTTGGAAACAACCAAATTAAGTGATGTCTTTTATTCTCTAATATATGCCTAACAGATAAATTATTGCTTCCTGTGGGACAGCAAATAAAATTTGCTGGGAGTTTTTCCTCCATTTCCCAGAGATCAGAGAGGTTCTAAGGCTAAGTTGCATTAAACCCCAGATTTATTATTTGCAGCTCTGGAAGACTGGTATGAAAAAAGATATCCTCACAGTTTTTTTTTACTTTGTTTCACTGCATGACAGCATACCAAATCAGATCGATTAGTCTTGGACTGTAACCGAGTTCAGGGGCTTCGTTTTTTGTCTCACTCCCTTTTTTGTAGTTGACACATCCAGAATGTTCAATGTGCAATTAAAGCACAGTTCACCTCAATACAGGGAATTGGCTAAAAAAAAAAAAAAAAAAAAAAAAAAAAAAAAAGACCAATGACTCTTAACCTAAAAAACCTCAGCTCTCATTGAAGCTTATTTTGGTGAAATCACTGGGCATAAATTAATATGTTCCCAACAGAAGTTATAAATTTAATCCAATTTTTTGCAAGAGCATATGAGCATTCAAATGAAACCTAAAATTGAAACGAGAAGGGACTGAAATCCTTTGGAAGTGAATGGACTCCCGTTGCCTCATTCTCCATCATAAACCATGACAACATTTGAATAAGCATTGAGAAATTCTGTATTGAGACTTTCTGATTCATCTGTCATTAGTTGCAGAAAAGGTTATCAAAACCATCTCCAAGGAAAGGCCAGTCCAAAGAATGAATTTCAATGGAAGAGAACTTTTATGTGGCCTGGATGATATGCAAGCAGAGCACTTAAAATGTTTCCTGCACTATATCAGCATGGGTCCATTTTTCAATATCTATCTTCTCATGAATAATTGCTCCAAGCCTTGCCTTGATGTGACAAATTTGAACAAAATTTTGTATATCTGTTGGAAGCATATTCACCTATTCATGCCCAGTGAATGTTTTGTGAAAATAGCTCCATTGAGAGTTGAGATTGGAATATATTGATTAGTTTTTTCTTTACCACAGCTTTGGATTTATTGCTTCAGTTAATTCATTTGCTTCAGTCAGGTTTATGCATTATGATTAGACATTGCCAGACTGAGTTGGGTGACAAATGCATCAATTTAATCTAACCATGTGAGCTCATAATGGAAATGGGAATTGGTTTCACATGAAGATAATCCCATTCCCATAATATCTCATGTTATCAATCAGGTGATCTGGTGTATCCCATCTTTTATTCAGACCATGGCAGTAGGAATTTTTGTTTGGTAATTCTGTTCAGTCTTTTACATCCATGTATTGTATGTACAGAAACCTTTATCACACTTGAGAAATTAAGATGCGCCAAGGAATAGGATGGATTAACCCAGAAATATCAAAGAGGTCTGTGAGCATTCTGGCTGGGGTTGTTGGAGGCACTGGAATGCTGGCTATCATTCTACCTCACACTTTTTACCTTGACAAATACAGGAAGATTACCCAAGCTTACAAGTGAGCAGAACTATCCTGTGCATGTTCTTCTTGTCTATCTATGCTATCTTTTTTTTAAACCTTACTTCATGTTCTTATAGGCATGGGATACCAGTGAAACTAAAAAATGAAGTGAGAGAACAAGCAAACAGTGTGCTTCAGCAAGTACCCATCTTGAAGCGGGACATCATTCGCATTGACTTCTTCTGTGGCTATGGCTTTGATCCATTCTGTATTGGTTCAGCCAAGCTCACCAATGGGGCTTTCATTGGTCTCCCAGTCAACTTTGCATATACCTCCACTGCAGATGTAGACACTTTCAATATAAAGGTAACTATTGACCTCCTCAAAGGAGAGGAAGCAGGCTTGGTTTTGAATCATGTACACATTGACCAGACATGACCCTGCCAGCCTGAAAGGATTTTACATTGAAACTGATACTTGTGAAATATATACTTTTTCTGCAATTTAATGCAATGCAAAATACATTTTGACATCTTACATTATTTTTTATTCTCTCTGATGGTGAATTTTTCTGTGCTGGTTGCTAATAATTTTTTGTTGTTTTACAATTAGGTCCTGAACAAGACAGTTGCCTGGGAGACAGCAAGCGGAGCAGCATTACGCAGTTCTCTCATTCTTAGCACTGCTGCGCAACATTATGCAATTGCAACACAGATCTACCATGCCACTACACATCATGTGTGGCAGAGGATCAGCCTCACTACCACCATTACACTACTAGCATACACAGTCCTGTATCGTTTGAACAATCGCCTTGCTCTACATGCCAGGAAGCGTTCTGTTCGTTTCACCTTCTATTCCCTGGTGATTGGAATGGCAGCTCTCATGTGGCTCTTTTTGAGTGATGCCCTCCGTGTCCACCACGAGAGAGGAGCAGATGATTTTGCTTGCAGCATGGGTGAAGACTACATTCGAGGTGGAATAGAGTACTATGAAAAACTCTTGCAAAGAAATTTGGCATTGAGGGAATTGATGGGCAAAGAAGGAGAACACAAATTCTCTGGCAAGGGGAATCCTCGAGAACTGTTTCGTTTCAAGCATGTTCCCCCCACTTCACGTTATGAGTATGTGCTTCACAGGCTCAAGGAGTTTCATGCAAACCACCAAAAAAATGATTGATTTTGAGTGACTGGTCTCATTTGGTCATATGAGCAATATCAGATTGGTCTCAGATTGCAAGAATGATTCATTGAAATTGAATACTGACTCCAGCATCCCATCCCAACAGGAGAAAGAATCACCAAATTGCAATGAATCTTCCTTGTTCTGGCTATTGGAACTGCTGAAATAATTGTGTATGTGTAGTGGTTGAACTTTTTGCAAAATGATTTTCAAAATGCCAATGAAAAATTTACAACTCCTGCATAATTACCAATTGCACTCAATGCAGAGAATAACAAAATTTAATCTTGACAACTCATCTGGTTTCAACCACAGATGGACAGAATAAATACAAAATTATTCTGACATTTAACCTATATGTCTATGCTCATGCTGGAGCTACTTTCATGGTATGCTTGATTTAGGTGTTCCCAACAAGTTTAGAAATTTTACTCAAATTAATTCTCCCAAAAAATGCCGATAGTTATTATGCAAAAGATATCAGCATTGAAAACAGACAGGGGACTCCAGCTCCTTAGGAATAGCTAACCTCTGCCTGCCTTCTCTTCATTTTTAAATATGGAGAAAATCAGATGGAAATTAAGGGTAACTCTATTGATAACTCATGACTTCTGAATCAAGAAGTATTAGTTCATAAGTTATAAGTTATTAACTTTAGGTGCTTCTCAAAACCATCTTCAGCCAAAAGGCCAGCCCAAAGAACAAATAGAACTGGTGTGGCATCCATGCTATGCAGAGTGCATTTCCTTCACTGAGCTACCATCATATACTTATGTTCATTTTCAGTGTCCTACCTCTTTTGAATAATTATTCATTGCCTTCCCTTGGCATCAGGCACTTTTCAAAAATGTTATTAGTCTTTACAGGTTGCATTGCAAGGTTTGAGAAAGCTGCAGAGGAGAGATTATTTTGTGGTTGGAAGTCTTTCTGTCCTTGCCATGTAAATGGTTACAAACGAGGGTCTTTATTAGAAATCCTACACATAAAACATTCAAATTTAAATGGGTGATGTAGGGACTTTACACCAACGATGATGACTCCCACACAATGTTAATTTCCCATTAGAATGTCATATTTAGATGAAGAGCAGAAAATACTCAAATTTTCAAGGCAGTGGGGCATTTTTTAAGTACTGGACCTCTCTCATAATTTGGAGTTTTTCAATATCAGATTAAATACATTTAATTTCAGTCTTTCCTTTGGTCCATCTTTTGGTGAACCCCATTTTATCCTTAATGTAGTAAAAATATACCCATATTTTGCAGCTAGTCACAAGATTGAATAACTTGGAAAAGCACTCCTTCCTCTGTTTCTGCTTCTTGGCTATACTGTGAAAAGTTGACATTGACTTTGATGGATGTTCCAGAAATTCTGTAAAACTAAGGGAGTGTGTAGTGATGACAATGTGTGAGAAGATGTTTCACTTTGCAACTTTTTTTTCACCTCATCAGCAGTACATCAGATGTCAGAATCAGCTCAGTAATGGTGTTCAGAAATATAGGGCCTTCACCTTATTACTAGGCATTCAGAGTACAGCCCTCATGTGGGAAAGGCCCCTGGTCTGGAAAAATTTTCACAGAATTCTCAACCACTGGTCTGGAAGCTAAATAAATGCCAGGATATCCATCAGCATATGAATGTGGCACATGAACCCTAAAAGTGTCAAAACTGATGCAATCTATTGTCTCATAACTATTTGCCATATGTCCTGTCTCTGTGCAAAACAAAAATGACTAGTTCAAATAGAAATAGAAGAAATAAGAAAATGTAGTCTTTCTGGCAAGATTTATTCCAATACAAGCCTCTGATGAATCCAGTTCCCATGTAGAAAGACTTGAATGAAGGATAAGGAATATAAAAGAAAAGTCCAAGTGGCTGAATGAGTCAAAGGACTAGGCCTACATGATAATGACTACAGCAACTCTAGTCTCACTGTCCAATGCTTTTCTGGAAGAGATACAATGAAATTCCTTAGAAATGCTGCACAGGATATTCAATACAGAGATGGTTTGAAATAGATGAATTAGCTCTCTGTCACATGTGTAGCATGATCAAAAGAACCAGAATACAAACATCATAACAGAAACTGTGACAGTCAAATCTAGACTGTAGAAATGGGATCTTTAATAGTACCTTTAGAAGTCTGAATTACCAAGGGTCTCTGCAGCTGCTTAACGATGGGTCAATTACTCTCCTGCTCTAAAACAGGCCATAAAAAAGTCACTCAAACCACCTGCACACCTGACTAACTATGACAGTCACAACTCACGAACTGAACCATACCAGCAAATTGCAAGACACCTTCAAAGATGTAATCATTCCAACTTATAACTGCCTCCAATTGGCAAATTACTCCTACTGGAAGTGAAATCACTGCTCCCCTCACAGCTAAAACTTTTGCCTGTAAGCACAGGAAAATTTCATTGGACTGCAAGAAAATATAATTCTACTTCCATTAGCATTAATATGGCAATTCAGCAGCTGTTTCAAGTTGTCCAACTACTTAAATTCATCCCAATTTAGAGTAATTTAGTCTAACTTACAATGGCAAACTCTAATTGCAATTCAGAAAAGCTACTATGTATTAGCCAATTCTTACATGAGCAGAATTTCATCAAACCAAATAGAAGGGCGTGCCATGAAACAAGTGGCACCTCCAATGGATTATGGTTTCTTCGGGAAGTGATGGGTAGTAAAGTCTAACAAATGATGAAAATGGACTTATAGGAAAATATTTTACTTCCAAATTCATACTACTCAGACTGTAGGCCAAATCCTTTGTAACTTGAATGGGCATTTCGTGCAGTATTATATTGAAAAGCACAATCAGTGAGTTATCTACAATGTGTCCCGAATGCAACTTTAGTCCCTTTCCTTGTTCAGTGGGCCATGAAATGTCTGACTTACTTTCATGAAAATAGCTAAATATGAAGATCATACCAAACTTGAATTAAAGAGGTGAGTGCAAAGGAAGTATGCCAATGGGTAATTACATGCACATCCCAGTATATCTGGAATCCTCATCACAGCAAATATTGAGTGTTCACTTAGTCCCAAGCAGCCTTTCTTGGGGATAGCTTTTTTTCTTTGACAAAGAAAGCAGCAAGGTCAGAATTTAAAAAAGTGTCATGCTGCTCCTTTGAGCAAGTTTCTGTGAAATATGAACTTCATTTGGTGCACCTTCACCATGGGATAGAATTATCTATTGCCATGTTCTTGGTATAGCTCTTTTGCAGATGGGTTACCCAGGTTTTCTTGTTTCTGATCAAGGAAAGGGGAGCAATGAGGAAGAAAATATGTTGATCAGACTGGAACTCATTCCCTAGATGGACCTCCTATCTGTCCTGCAGATGTTGTGGAACAAATATTCATCACTGTTGCATCATGAATGGTCTGATGACACGGGCTCTGACAAAATCCTGAAATCTGGGCTCCTCTCCTTCATTCATTGATGATTTTTGTCCATCTGAGTGATGGCTTATTAATCACAATAGGCAGAATAAAGACTAGAGAAGAAAATATGCCCACCTCATAACACTAATTTGAGCGAGCAAACTGGGCAACTGTGCAGCACTCATCTGATGAGTACATCCTGTCAGGATTACTTTTTTTGGTTGTGAAGCAGCATATACAGGATGTGGCAAAAAAAAACCCCGAAGTTTGAACTTTTCATCAGCTCTTCCTATAAATATTTTCAAGGAATATGCATGAAGCACAGGCTTCTATGATAACTACAGACTCAAAATGTAATCCAAATCTGATTGCTTAGCAGTGGGGAACTGGACACGAACAGGAGCCTGTGTAGAAAGTCAAGTGGAATGCCTTTGTCCTTTGGCTGGATATAATGAAGACATTCTTTCAGCTGGGCTTTTGCTGAACATTTTTGTTCATTAGTTTCTTTCCCTAGCAATGATAGATCAGTCAACAGGTATCAATGAAGACAATCTGCTTTGAGTCTTCATATTATCTAGCTTTGTCAGAGGAACTAACAGGTGGAGTAATGTCTCTCTGAAGGAACAAAACATATCCCTAATTAACATTCTATTTTCATTTTCTTTTTTAATTATTCAAATCTTCATTCAAATTTGTAATAGTCTACTGGGAACATATAAACTTGAGGCCAGTATTTCATTAAAATATCTCTTGTATAAGTGGAAATATGTGAGTTCAAAGTTCGGGGTCTTATCTTTGGCCATGTCCTGTACCTTAAATTTACTTAGTAAGACTATTTTGTTCTTGGATATCTGCAGACATAGAGAATGAATAAACCCCAGGAGCTGAGAGATATGCATGGACACTGCACAAAGAAACCAAAGTTGCACATGAGACACAACCATGGCAAATGTTTTTCACTCATACCAATTCAATGATTGATGATCTTGCATCACTCAGTCCACTTGACACCCAGGAAACTTTCACATAAGGTGCTTCCAGCATACTCTCATGTTTATCTTTTTTTTTCTTTTTTTTTTGGTGAAATGAGGAGCCCAAGAGTGTTGACTAGCACTCTGGTGTTCATTCTCTTCCATAGACGCTCTCATCACTGTAGGCAATGTATAGGAAGTAATCCTCCTCATGGTGCTCCTAAAAGGCATTCAGGGAGTACAAAGATCATATAATTAGATATAAGAGATTCAAAATTATTGGCTAATTATTAAATGTGGCTATGACCAGAACATTTTTATGGTCACTTCATGAAAAGCATTAGTTCTTAAGCAACTACTGACTACTACATTCCCATCTACTTTCAATATCTGAAGAAACTAAATTATACAGTATACTTACAAGGAAATTACACAATAACAAGTGTATTTTCAAGAAAATTATCATGAATAGTTTCACATTCACTATAGCAAAAACTTATGAGATATAACTTTTCACCACATTGACTGCCAAGGTAGTTTTGCTTATTCTTTCTATGGTGCCACATAAACCAGCATGTCACACTGCATGTTTTTATTTTACCACTAGTGTGACATAAAACATGTGCAGTGACATGCTGACATGTCACATGGTAGTCAACATGTTAGTCAAGTATGACACATTTGTAACCGATTTTTTTGGCAAAGAGCAAAGACAGCAAGAGTTTCACATGGGTGTAACAGTTGCTCTGAAAAATCAAACTATGATTATAAAGCTGTAAAGAAATTTTTTTCAATTGGACATACATATATCCTCTGAATCTGGCAATATTCATGAGCTGGAGAAGAAAAAGCAATGCTGAATCCAAAATCAAAGGTAAAACATGATGTACTGAAATTTCCACAATTTTGGCCTGTGACACAAAACGAGCAAGATAATATAACTATGCCAAACCAAGCTATCAGAGGACTAAAAGAAAGAATAGTTTGGGTCTACCTGATAGAGTGCACCCATGGTGGCAGAAGTAGGAGGGATCACATTGTTGACAAAGAAGAAAAGGGCATCCTCGGGTCGGAGGTGGATCCTCTTGCGTATCAAGAAATAGAACTGCCCAACTGTCAAATCTGATGGAACCAAATACTTTTTCTTGTCCAAGTCTCCTATCCTCGCCTTTGGAGCTTTCTCCACAATCACCTGATAACAGACCATCAAATTAATCTACCTAAATCCTTCTTATCCACTATGGACAGGACCAAAGTAGGTTCAAGCAAAAACACTTATGAGCAATATTAATCAAATAAAGAGTTCATTCAAAGCATTTGACAAAAAAAAAACCTGCAAATCCTGCAGATGAAAAAAAAGGAAACTAAATCTTATACCTTTTCGACTATAATTCCCTTATCTAACACTTTTTTACCTCAAACCTCATTTTTGTTCTCATTTCTGACATTCTTACTGGTAACTAAAAGTTTGCTAACCATCAATATGAATGTAAGAAGACATTAAAGTGGGGTTCCAATTGGTTTGAAATTCTTCTATGACAATTAAGTAGGTAATATAGCCCCATTCCCTGCCTTACTCTTCAGAATGAAAGAGACATGTCATATCAAATGGCCTTTTTCTAGAAGTTAGACATGAGCCCCATGGACAGAAATATCTACCTCCTATAATTTTCCTTGAAAATTTTCTGACTTTGACTTCTTCTTGGACTTAGGGCAGCAGAAAGGCATGAGTTGCATGACATGCAACCACATCAATGTCATAGAGACAGGATGAACTGTGGCTGACAAAAAATCATGATTAAAAAAATTCACATAAGATTTTATTTAAATCAGGCTTTTAAGTAAGCATACATTGATTTCTTCATTACCTAACATCTTACAGCTTTTCCAAAGTCCTCTTCCAATATCCATAATAAGTATTTACAACTTGCAAACCATTGATCCTTTTTTTTAAATAAAAACTATGTCTTTATGCTCAATGCTGACACCAAAAGAAGTAAATTTCCATGCTTAGACTAGATTCCATACCGGGACACGATCGGGATACTTTTTGCGGATCTTCTCTCCTTCTTGCCTTCGTTTTTCAAAGGGGTGCTCCTCCTTATATTGCCACTTCATTTTTTCAGAGTTCCAGCAAGCTTAGCCTCCCTAAGATTTTAAGGTTCTGAGGATTCAAATCAAAATACCAACAACCTATGAAACAAAGAAAAAAAAATTCATTATAGGCCTTAGTTTATATTATTATGTAACACCCTTGGCTACACTAAATTAAAAATCTCATTGTCCTTTTTGCATCATTTGGAGCCTAGGGTGGAGCATCAGTGACTGGTACTTTAATGCAGTATCACAGCTAACCCTTCAAACAGTTTTCACGTACACCATACATTCAACACTTAGGAGGTAGGGTCAAAACTTAGTGCTTGAAGGGTTAAGGTGCCATTTCGCAGGAAAATTCTTAATTTTCAATTGAATCAAACACGCATGAAAGAGGTGTTTATAGGTTCCCACAAAACATTACCAGAATTTTCTTAGTCAGCATTTCCAAAGATAACTGTATGTAACCATTAATTGTATTACTGGGAATACTCACACTGCTTCAATTGTGCCATTTTAAAAGAAAGGAGCAGAGCACAATGTCTGTCCTTGCCTCCATTCTAACCCCATCCTGTGCACCCTCTGTCCCTTCTACCCATATTTAATAATTTAATCAATTTGGTAATGACTTTGGAGCTAGAGACTCAGACTAATGTTTCACCAGTTTTTTTTTTTTGGTTTTCATTAAACCCAAGCTCACTGCACAGAACTAACTATAAACACATAACAAGGGGGCCGCATTCCTTCTATGTTCGGACGAAAGAGTGAGAAAGTCAACATATTTTGGAGGATGATGGGTCAGCTGGGTTAGAAAAGGGTTGCAGCCTTTGGTTTTGATTATTTTCTTACTCTTTGGCCTTTGACACTGAACTGGTTACTCACAATTGGACCTCCAGCTCAGTTACCATCGCTACTTGCCTTTATTGAATACAGTGTGCAGGCCACGTGGTAACATGGCACTCTGTGCCTGTTCAGCTCAATCAAAATCTGCAGCATGTTACTGATGTCAGTACTCTTCCTATACCCATAATTATGTAAAACTGGTAATGATTAACCTAAACACATGACCATAGCATTTACATGAAGGAAAAATTTATTCAAATATATCATTATATTTCATGGGCCTGGGAAATGGCACCTTAATCCAGTATCACTGACCAATATAAGAGAAAAAGATCATTAATCATTGATCACCCTCACATCCAGTAACAAGTTGGCCCTACCCATTGTGCCAGAGTCATCCACATGGAAAGAAGCAGGATGTACAGGTGCATCCATACTTCTGAAAGGTGATATACAATTGGATATCAGAAAGGCAGTGTCTATTGGCCAAGCTGGCTCAGCCCCGACTTCAACACTGACTTGGGAATAATGATCTTTAACACCACTATTAACATGATACAGTTTCCTGCAACCCATCAAACACAGGCATGACTTGCAAGGTAGAGGAAGCTGCTTCATTTGCCTTGTGGGAAGACTGAGCAATCTTTTTCACCTCTTCAGCACAAAACTAAACAGCTCTTCATTATTGTAGGATATCATGGTTGTATAAAAGGTCCTATATCATGTCAGGTTAGGAAGTAGATGACATGCAACTTAACTAATTTAAGATGTCTTCTGCTGGAATGTGGGTAAATTGAAATCAACTTTTGAAATCACCCATTAAAGGCACTTTTCTCTACACACTGCTAGGACCTTATGTGAGCCCTCTACCCCAACTATATGAGTTTTTATGGAATTAGTCAAATCCTGAATCTTAATTGTTACTCTTAGGTTGAAGTTGCTGAAAAAGATGCACATGGTACTAGTAATATGATGAAAGCTGTCACTCTGGAATACACAACATCTTTTATGACTCAGGCCTAACCTTACAAATTCTTTTCCACTTCAGAAAGCCAGCTTGGCCACAACTTAGAGGCCAAGCTCTCTTCTATAGAGTATTGGTCTCAACAACTGAAGAGATGTCATGAGTCAGGTAACTTTCCAGCTCGTCCCTTAAGTCAGGCCTGAGCCAGCTCGGCCTGTAGATACTGCCTATCAAGAAAATATAAGCCTGTCAAAAGGTTCTGGTCCAGGTCTAACTTGGGCTTTATGATAGGTATGGTTAGAATAATCATGTAATAAAATTGATTCAGCTTAGAAAGAAGCTGATGTTTGGAAAAATGCATATGATAATAATTAATAATAAACATGAAATCTACAAAAATAAACAATGCTGCAGAGCAGGTGACACAATATCAACCAATAGATTGGCGGATAGAAGATTCTGTAGAAAAATCAACGCTGCAGCAAAATGGCTTCTATCCACAGACACTGAACTAGGGAATGATAATCTTGATTTTTTTCAATACTTTCAGGAGCCCAAACATCCTGTTTGATTCGTGAATCAAATCATACAGAGCCTGCTTTCATGCCTTCACCACACGGTTATACTAACGTTAGCACTAGTAGGCCAAGGTCAGTTTCCAGCATGGTGTAAGAATGTACAGTTTGATGGTCCTTGGATTTTTCGAGCTTGCTGACCATCTCACTCTCACTCGTAACCATCTACGCACTACTTGCTCAGCACTTGTAACAAACCTTAGCCTCACTAGGCAATGAGTTGCTGTTTCAGAGTCTTTCAGAGCCTGAACTCCCGACAACCAAGGTCACATGCTCGCACGTCAACTTATTACGTCACTGTACGTGTTTCACATGAAGGATACCATTCTTCCCAGGGTTGCCACAACAGTAGCCCACATCTTGCCATCTTAAAAGTGCGACTCTAGCGATTTCTCTCGATTCCTCAGATTGTTCAGTAAACGCCTTTAAATTATTTTTAACTCTAAACGTGATAAGCGCTTGCAAGCACATGATAGAAGGAGCCTTCACACTCATGAAACTTTCCCCTTCATGTAATCTCCAGATATGCAAATGCGCCTCATGTGTCATACAACCAGTGGCGTATCCGGAGTTTCATTGATTTTGGCGGAGGCTTGGACCAACGTTGGAGGGGCTAAAATAACGCGTTACTGTTCATGTTCGTGTGTTCATGCACGAAAAAGAACGTTCAGCAGAACAGATTGTTATAGGTTCAGCTAGGGCTGCTAAGAACAATTTATTAGAAGAGGGAAATATTTATTTGTCGACAGCTTCCAGCACTTGACTAAGAATAAATAATTTTAAGGGTGAGGGAACTTTCACTCAGACGTTCTTTTACGAAAAATCTAATCCGAACATGGCATTTCGACGGTATAATTTAAGAGATTCCTGAGAAAATCTGGAGTTCGTGACTGCCAGAACTCCGTCCAGCACTGAAATTTTGTCTTAATCTGAGAATGAGATCTCCAGAGTTTCGCACACGAGATTCACTTCTTCTATCTATAGCATGAGAAATATTGCATCATGGCGATCGCGGTCTCCTTGTGAAACGAGTCAGACAGGCCTTGAACGTATACACAGTTCTGCAGAGTTCTAACTTTGCCGACTGTAGCACCCTGCAGACGATCTCAATCTTGGATAAAACTTCAACGAAGAAATGAAAAGATGAAGACTTTCTTTATCGCTAGGCCTGACAAAACGTCCAAAACTTGCTTGACAAGATTTTTCAGTGCGTTCACCCTTCGGCTTCGAGAAAGCCAACGGAAACCACAAGGATGCTTCAACTCCATGATACCATCCCCCACGGAGCTCTCGAATGCGGCATTTCAGCAAGGCGTGACGATTGGAACCCCACAAGTTTATTACTAATTTCGCCCAAAAATGAAGTTGCCACAAGAACAGCCTCGCACGTGCATCCACAGCCCCAGAGTTAGACGGTGGCAGCAGAACGTGCTATAGGCATAGGAATAAATTTCCCAGAGCCTCTTCTGGACGCCAGAAAAAAATATCTGACTTCACTGATGCCCATGGAAAGAGCAACTTCTCGTCTTCGAGAAGCAGCAATGCAAGAACAGAATCAATATTAGCTGTCATGCTCTCAGCATTTAAGCCACCCAATTCTATCAACTGGACGCGTCTCTCATATAATTATAATTATAATGTTAATATAATAAACCTAGTGAATATTTATGGAGAGTGTTTCCCGTTTGGACACGTCACGGCATTCGTCAGCAACTACAGCATAGAATTGAGTCAATTCATATTAAACGTGATCCAAGATGCCATTAGAGCAGTCCTGTATCACATCATTCTGCACTTCAGGGGACAAATCCTTCGTCTTCTTGGGCAATGAAGGAAACACATTCCCGAATCGAATTTCACAAGCTCCAAGTATTCCCCTGAGAGCACCAGTGCTTTCTTCAAAGTTTCTAAAAGCCAGTTCGCGTTTTGTGAGGTACAAAAACAGTGAGAGTATTGTTGCATTGCCAACTTGCTTGATTGACAATCGATCCATATCTCGTGAATCTAGATCTTAATACCTGATAATGCAGAGGTTCTGTTCTGCAGTATTTCCCATCCAGACGTGGTTTTGCCCGTTCTTGCACAACATGAATTGCAGCCAATATCGGTATGCAACTTATCAATTGAATTGCTAATTTAATTTTGAATGCGAACATATGACAGGAGAAACTCGTTGAGTCGAATGATTTGCTTGAGTTTCGCCTACTCGATGATTCACGGCTTGGTCAAAATTACCAAGACTATATTCAATTTTATACAAATTCGTTTGAAGTTTCCTGGAGTCTTCAACGAAATTTTAATTCCTAATTGAGAATCCAAATTGTCTCCCATTTTTTTCTCCCTTCGCTGACGCCAGCACAGAGGATTGAAACAGACAAAAAAATCTCCAGTTATTTTCCTGAAACCATGAGTTTTTTTTTTTAAGCCAATTTCTTATTACTGGAACCGTTTCGCCCGGGTCCCATTAACCTCGAGTAGGGTAAGCACCCCGGTTTCTGCCCGGTCTCCAGTTGTTGGCCAATGAGGCTTAAATCCAAAATAACTAGTTAATCTGGCCGTTTTCAAGCGTTCTATCAAAAACTTCCCATACGAGGACCCATTACTAGTGTTTCCCGGTGTGCGCACTTCCTATGGGAGGAAGCATCAGCGTGGCCAAAAACTGGGGTGTTTACCCTATCCAAGTTTTTTTTTTTCTGAATCTGATTTTCATTTTCGAATACGAATGCGGCTGAGAGCGAAGTCTCACCTGGTGCGACAAATTCGCTTTGCGTTTCTCACCCTTCTCGATCTTTTTCCGTTTCTGAAGCCGAATGTCAGGAATTGAGGTTTCATGAGGTGGAGAATCGCGAGAATCAGCACCGCGCTAGACCATATGCTTAAAATAAAATAAAACAAAACAAGACACGACGCTAGGAATCTCCTTCCAAGAATCGTTGAATCTGCCTCGTTCTTCACGCAGGGCAAGTACTATTTCATTACGTCGACATTAAATTAGTTTAGGTGTCATGTTACACACCCGAATTGTATCCTTATTCTACAATAAACTAGGCAACTCGAACACGATCGGCAAAAACATGAGAAAACTCTCACGGTCTGACCGAAGCACCTTTCACATTCGCCTCATGAAGGAGACTCAAGTCCTGGTCATTTTGGGCCCCCATGGTCATTTGGAGACGGCAGGGAGACGCTTCTTCTAAGAATTCTATCGAGATTCCCCAATTCCAAGAAAAACCGGAGATGAAAGAACTGGATTTCCCTCGCCCCACCCCGCCCCGCCCCTGGGCAGGTGCCCCCCCCCCCCTTGTTTACGGTCTTGTGCATGACTCAGCCCCTCGTCTACCGCTGTTTTTGGCAGGATTATTCACGTTGAATTCTTGCGAGGTGAGTTGCAGTCCCCACATTTCTCTGTGCGTACATACGTATAGAATCCCCCCCCCCCCCCCAATTTTTTCCTGACGACTCAACAAGTGAAACGCTTGACCGACGAATAAGGATAAGGATGATTCAGTGGTTCCCAATCGGTAGATCGCGAGAAAGTATAGAAATAAAAAATGGAAAAACAATTTTTTTCTGAATGAAGATAAACAGAGATGTTACACAACCTAGAACTGTATCAGAGCACATGAGCTTACATTTCCTGGAAAAGATCCCCCTCAGAATGCGTATGACCAGCCAACAAAGGGGACAATCCCAGGAAACCCGAACCAAAAAAACCGGAACGACTCGGAAATGGCAGCGCTAGCTTTTCTCCACGCATTATCGAGACCGCAATCGCACCGTTTCCGCATCCTATCCAAAAGGAAACTCGACACGAATCCGATCGCCAGAGGAAATTCGAGACCCAATGCAGCCCCTTCGCCTCGTCGTGACCCTCGATTCGGTCTCGACGAGTCCGCCGAGTCAAACTCCGAGGCCAACGCGAGGAGCGAATCCAGGCTAATCGAGGTCGTGACAGTGGAGGTTCGAAAGGATCAGCCGTGGAGGACGTTCCACGTGTCTCTTTTACAAGTCAGCTTTTGTCTGCTTCTGCTCTTTGCTTCTCAGTCGAGTTGGGATTCCAAGTTGACTTTTTTCGATCAATGTCTCAGGCAGTCGAGTTCAGTGGTGGTTCGTATTCGAATCCGGAATTAAACGCTTTCGGGAATGAATTGTACGTTGAATTAGTTTTTATATTAAAAAATTAATTTTTTGCTTCTTCCCGTTAACTTCGACATTCCTTCCAGCCCTCAGGTATTCCTCAGTCATAGAATTCCTTGTTTCTCGGCGGCGTCTAGGTTGAAACGGTGAGCACTGCTTTCTTTTTGTCTGATGAAGTTAAGGTTCTTTCTTCATCTTTTGCTCGAATTCTCATATTTATTCACTCACTTGTTTGTTTTCGTGCCACATGATTGATTTACGACCGTTCCTGAACTTGTGGGTCGCATAAATACGGGAACTGGACTCGGTTGGTCGAAGCCGGAAAGGCTGAGAAAAATCGTTCTCATGGACGAAGTCGAATGAAGAGTTTTGAGATTCAGATTGAAATGTTTGAAGTGCTTACGCTTAGCAGATCATTTCATTGGTCCATCTTGCCTGCAGTACCTTAATGGGAATCGATTCGTTTTTAACTCTCATCGCAGGTTGCTTCGACTTTCGCTGCGATGCAAGCAAACGAAATGGAATTTTTCTTTTCGCGGAGGGAAGTCCCAGAGTTCAACTTTTAGACTCAAGCGCAATAATTGAAGCAACATTTTACTCGTTTTTCGTCTGTGTTGAAGTCTTTTGCCCTTATATCTCTTATCGCCAATTTTTTTTTTGCGAATAATATTTGCCACGTAGATCCAGAGTTAGGAAAGTGGAGGCGAGGATCCGTTGGACGGTCTCACGGCAGAATCGAATCACGTCTGAGGCGGGAGGACAGAATGACGTCACCTGCCGATGAGACCAGCGTCCTCATCGCTCCCAGCGCGGATCGCTTCGCAGTCTGCTGAGCGCCGCGAGCGAGAGAAGTCTTCACCTTGCTTGTTCGCGCTTTGGCGAGACGCTTTCCCCGATATTTTCAGCATGCGTTGGCAAAAAAATTGTTCCGTGTATCCGTTATCATTCGGCGTATTTCTTCGTATCGTTCATCTTTCCCTCAGTCACCATTCTATTGCAATTCTGATCATTCTTACCTTTTGCCTCCTGAAAACGTAATAGCTTGTAATGATAGAAATGGACTTGCATATTCGGCACATGGCATGCCTGGCTCCTTCTCTTCAATCTTCAATGCTGAGAAAACAATAACGCTCTTCTGGCGCGTTGAATTCACTCTCGTTTGAGGAGGCAAGAAGGCCTCTCTCAATAAATCTCTTCAATATCCAACAGACCACCTTTCCAAAAGAACTTTGAAATGATGCCCGAGAAAAACGCTCCCACCGCTTCGGTTGGAACTTTCTCGCTCCCCGTCGACCGAGTTTGAAACTTAAGGCCGCTTCTCAACCTTTTTCATGTCAGCCTTCGCAGCCTTTTTCCCTCTTAACACTGCGGGACCAAAATGCCTGTAGGCATACTCTATGCCAGTGTTTCCCAAACGGTGTGCCGCCAGTAAGGCTTAGGTGTGCCGTGAGATTTGAGACTTGACAACAAAAAAAAACTAAAAAAACTAAACTAAAAACTTAAAAACAAGAGGGAACGCCATCTCTCAGTGGAAAACGAGCTGAGAGTTGCACTATCACGCCTCGTATCAAACTGCTGAGTTCAGGGAAGCAAGCTTAAGTTTCCCATTGAAAGTAAGTATTGAATAAATGGCTGGGTCTGCCGTGGAAAGTTCAAGTGTCCTTATGTGTGCCGCAAATAAAAGAAAGATTGGGGACCACCGCTCTATGCTATGAGTCACAGGTGACTCATGCCGCTATGAGAGTGTTAAGCTAGGGTGCTTATTCGAGCTAGAATCGATTTTACGTTCACCATCTACATAATATATATATTTTTAACTAACTTATCGATTACTCTTTAATATGTAGCAATGACACGACTTGGCCACTCACTGGACAGAGTTTCCCAAGAGTTGGAGTTTATCTGTTATGATCACATGACATGACTTCCCCCATCGAGGCTAGGACGATGAATCACGCAGGCACGACTCATCCCTCGGTCCCGTCCCCAAGTGCTGGCTGCATCATTTTCGCAGGTGCGGATCGCGCGGTGTCAGGTCTTAGGCCTCGCCTGCACCATATAAAACTTTCAAAGACGTCCTGACCCCGAAAGTTTTCTTTTTGCAATTATTTGCAAGTTGACTAGCAAAGAAAACTTTCGGGGTCAGGACGTCCTTGAAAGTTTTATATGCAAGATTTCAATGCTCTGGGAGATTTCTTCGAAAGTTTTCTTTCATAAATCTTTATTTTGCAACATTCTTTCATCGTCTATGCAAGGAAACTTTCAGGTGTGGACGAGGCCTAACTGCCGAGTCTAGAACACACTCCACATCCCAAACTGTCAGGTAGATGAACTGTCAGGTATTTTCCCCATACTACAGAGGTAGTTTTCTCTGCCTTCCCCTCCACTTTCCGATCTTGAAGTCGAGATAAACGGAGGATGAAGTCTCTGGGCAAGCAGGCATCACAGATGATTTCGTAGGGACGCAGCCGTATGCCTCCGCGTCAGACGAGGAAATTCATTCATTCATTCTTCTTCTCGTTTGTGCTTATTGGCGATACGAAGGCACCGATGGCCCTGGGACTACTGCTGCGGATCACGAGACGCCCCTGTTGTGGGTTTTTTGGTGGTCATTTCCTGGTCACTTGTCATGTTTCAAACAGGTACTCCTCTTTTTGGGAAGTTCTTTGAAAAGAAAAATTGGCATTCCGGAATTATGGAAAAGATTTTAGTCCGATCGACAGTTGGATGGGGATGTCAAGTTCGGTCATTTTTCTATTCAAAATCTATGTTGCTTTAAAAGAAAAAAACCGGACATTCAGATATATTACACAATTATGTTAATGAGGCCTAGAATGAGCCCCCCAAAAACGTATTGGACGAAGCAGAAAAAAATTTCCTCGACCCACCTCGTCTATTCTCGCGTCTATTCACAGGCGATGCTTTGTCGCTACGGTCAGAAATATCAACGTTCATGATGAAAAACTTGAGAAATACGCTTAAACATCTTGATATCCCAGATAGAGTATGGGTGTCAGCTATCGGAAAGTCCTGATTTTACAGGAAATAAAATCACTTTTCTCCACTTTACCACTCTCAGATGGACTGATAAAATTAAGAAACTCTGTTTGTCCGTCTGAAGCTCGCAATGACTTCGATCAGTCTCGCACATGAGACACAAGGAAAACCTTATTTTGGTTCAATGCTGAAGACGGGGTCGTGGACCCAGAGCTCTTGTAAGTATGGGTGCCTTTCTACTCGGATAACTACAAGCTTTCCAAGCTTTAGATTAACAGTTTTGCTCTCGAGTATCACTAACGACATTCACTTTCCTCGTGGGACAGAAAGTGGACTGAGTTTATCTCTCTCGTCAATCTGGAACTCGTTCAAGAGATGGACTGTCAACCGAATGCCCTTGTTTTAGTTTACCGATGACGCGATGCAGCGACGTGACGCGGGATTCGTCCTTCCATAGCATCATGTGAAGTGAACGACCTCGAGATGAATCTTTAGAGGGTCCAAATATCAGCCAAATCGTTCTCATCCCCCAAAGACTCTCATTTTAATTTTAATTTATTTTGCGGGATTCTGTGAAAGGATAATTGACTTTCGGAAATGCGGAACTGGGATAAACCCTGCTCTTTATTCCTGCTATATCCATGGAAGATGAATGAAAAATTACAAGATCTTCTTTGGAAATGAACTCGACGAAGAAAACGCATTGAAGCACTGAAATCCAGAAAGAAAAATAAATGGAAACCGAGAAATGGGGACGGAGAGACTTGGGATATGTAGTCGCAGTCGGCCGTTTCCTCTTTTCCTGCCGATCTGCTTCGTTCCTGAAAAGCGAAGGGAAGTACATGATAATCCTCTCCAAAATCTCATTATTATTCAGCCCGCAATCCATCATTTCATTCTGACTAGTCTTGACCAGATTTTTCGGTGCCTTAAATACGGACAGAGCAATGTGACTGATGGAGTCATCATACATCGGACCCATTTTGAGATCCATGACAAGCTTTCCTCTCATGACACGGAATGAATTGAGAACAGTCATTCTGGAGTAGTACCACGCCAATGGAAGACCATTTGCGTCGTAACGTCGAGAGACATTGCAGTAAGTCATGGAAGTGTTCGCCGGGCTCGAAGAAGGGAATCCGGTGGAGAAACTAAAAAAAAAAGACAGGACTCACCGACATTACGTATCGAGCGGGTCGGATTCCGTGCCCTCTTCGGCCGAAGAAGGCGTGATGTCATCCGAAAGACCTTCGTCGAAATGCCGCTGTTTCTTCCGGAGATTCCAATGCAAGCACTCAGCCAAGCTCTCGAACCAGTCCGCGATTTGGTCTTGGCTGCAAATGGACGGCACCGGGTAGATGGACGTCGTCACCCGCAGGCTGTGGGAACATAAAAAAAAAAACCAAAACAGTTATGTCTGACCGTCGATAACACTTTATCGCTCCTCTACTTGGCGTTTCCCATTTCAGATTTATTTTAGAGTATGCGTAACGATGTGATTTTTCAAAAGTCGAATCGATGCCAATGCATCGCGCTTGCCGGTCGAGGCGAAACTTTGGTGAAATTTGAAGCAGCAGAACTATCACAAAGCTTCGCGGTGACACTTAAATGAGAAGCCTGGTTTCTCTTTAACGACCGTTCTCTGAGTCAAGTGTACCAGGATTGGTGGCACTCCGGATTGAAGACAGATCCAGAAAATTCTCTATAAACCTGAAACGGACGGAATAGGCATTGGGATATGGGGAACAAAACGGTGGTCCTTTTTTTCGAAAATCGACTCAGAACTTCCAGAGATATGGTCATCGCTCTAGGGGGTTAAAAAGGCAGAAAGTTTTACAACACAGTGGACTTGGTCATGGCCTTTACAGTAAGCGTGACGACATAATTCGCCTTATTTGCTATACCTCCTCCTGCTCGGTATCTCCGATTGTTTATAGAACGCACAATCAAAGAAATAGAGGGCAGATCGCTTTCAACTTCGGTGACCGTAAGGAAGGAAGTGTTTCGGCAGACAGCGGAACCGTTCCTGGAACCATCCTAATGAGAACGGAGAAGCTCAAGAAGTGCAGAAAGGGCAAGAATCATAACATGATGGAAGATAATAAGGATGAAGGCGTCCTTCTTTCTACTGTACCATCGTATAGAGATACTGGAACAGGAAGGAAGCGTTTTGGCAGGCAGAACATCCTGAAACCATCTGAATGTGAAGCAGAGATGCTCAAGAAGGCAGTGAGGAGGACATGAATCATGACTTGAAGATACTTGCTAGTATCGCAAAATAAAGGTGGAATGAGGAATGTAGGGAAGGATGAGTAGCAAAGGAAGCAGTGCAGATTGGCCCAGAGCTCTTTGTAAGTCGAAAGGCCAAAGCGCAGTCCAATAACTGTCGATAGGCGCGACCGTGGTGATAAGATGGGTCAACTTCCGGTGGGCAGAAAAGTAAGAGGGACTGCTCAAAACAGAGTAAACTATATACTAACAGGCTCCCTGGATCAAGCCCTTCAAGACTATGTATGTTACTTCACCTGTTCCGGATCTGGCGGAGTGAGATTGCCACTGAAATTGGGGGGTTTTTGTACACTTGACTCAGAATGATTGTTGAAAAACGATGCCTGCCAAGATCATGTCACCATGAAAATGTTGACCCTCCGATGGTTATTGGTGACCATTTGGACTACGATGGTAAAACCCGCTGCAGCTGCGACTGTGAAGTGGATACAAGGAGGAACCTCACCTGTCACCGTGCTGAAGCTGTTGGGTATGGCGTCCATCGAAGGAAATCGATGCACTGCTTCGCGCATCTGGATTCAACATGATCTGCAAACACAAACATTCAACATGATCGGCCACCACGAACATTCAACATGATCTGCCATCACGAACATTCAGAACATGCTGTATGCTTAAAAACGCTTCTAAATCCTTACCCAGTCCTGGCCGAAAATTTTCTGAAGATTTTCTCTCATTTCTTCTGTGCTTCTCAGCAAGTATCTCAGGAAGCAGAATTTTCAAAATATTACGTTATATCGGGTGGCACACAAAAAAACTTAGACCATTTAAAATCTTTATAACTTTTTATTATTTTTCCTAATCTTCTAAAACAAATTTGATTAAGTAGTGCTACTCAAAAAGTTGAATTAACACTGTCTTTTTCTCAGGAATGTTGAAATGGCGCAACTAACTGAAGAAAAAATAATACCCATAGTCGAAGACTTTGTGTCCTAAGTATCGAAATAAATTTTTTAAACTTTGTAAGAATTTGAAATGGTCTAAGTTTTTGTGCACCACTCTGTACGAGGAGTTTCCTTCTTTTTCTGTCCGTCTACAGTTCCTTCGATTGCCATCGTGCGGTTGGCGCCGTGAAAGAGCACAAAACTGCTAACGAGTAATTATGTTAAGACCCGCATGCACGTGTATGCCGACGAAGATGGCTCGAAGGGAATCAGGTTTCAGTGCATTTCTATCCTCTGACACACAAGGAAACATTTCACGGATGGAAAACGACACGAGGCATCACGAAGCACGCAAGCATTGAAAATTTAGCGTCCAACATCTCATAAATCAAATCGAATGACATCTCAGACTGGAATTTGAATATGGAATGTGGCATCACTTGGCCCAACAAATCAATCACGGAAGCTCGATGGGAATCGCCGAGCAGCATTTTCCCCTTCATTATCTGTCCCGTGAGTTACGAGCGCACAATTCACGGGCACAGATTTCTCTGCTGCTGACACCTTTCAAATTCAATCATACTTTCTCGGAGTAAGCTATCTGTCAATCTTTCGGTCAAACCAGCAGCCAAGATAAGATATGCAGCTATGTAGCATCAGGGGGCCAAGAGGGGGTATGTTCATCCCCCTCCCTACTTTTCAGAAAATTAAGCAAAAATTAGGAAGATACGCATGAAATGCAATAGTATCCTAGAACTCCCCCCCCCCCACACATTTCCCATGCAGGCTGCGCTTATGATGAAACGGTTCGTTCGGGTGATCCAGAAAGAGCAGACAGAAATGATAGCCCGAGAGACACGAGACGAGAGGGGGGAGTGGTTTATTGTGGCCTGGTTTCCCGTACAGGAAATCAGTTCATGATAAACAAGGTGACACATTTGAACGCATACAAAGCTGCACGTGAGTACAATTGACCTTGCTCCATCGCTGGCACGTACTGACAAATACGAGCAAGACGTCGCACGTGACACGATGCACGTGACGCCACCTGTCGGCGACGATCGATACGAACACATGAGTCACTGACGGGGGTCTACATATTCTCTTGCGCTTCTCTCTCTGCTCACAAGTCCGAACCGTGAAAGCAAGGCCCATTGGGTTTATCTTTGAGGCACGGAATTCAGGGCAGCGAGCGTAATCTAAGTGCGGGGAACGAGACGGCGCGCGAATTGGAGCATCGAAAAAGAAGGATGGAATGAGAGTTGTTAGACTTTTCAAGGGGGAGGAGATTTTTTGTTGACCCACTGCACAAGCGGGAAGAGGTGGAGTTCCAATTATCTTAGGTAAATATCTACGTATTCTGCCTTCCTGAGATAACTGTGAGCATGCCGGGTTCAAGATTTGCGCCGTGCCCTTGGGGGCGACTGTATTTCTACTTGGAGGGTGGATTTTTGAACCGAGCTCTAAATAATCCTGCATTATTGGATTATACGGCTTTATGAAGGGGAACATGATTTTTTCCCCGATTTTTGAACTCGCCAGATGAAGCGGCATTTGATAATGCTCTATTGTGATAATTTTAAATTATTTTCCAGGACGGTTAGTAGCGGCAACGTCGCATCTCGTACGCGAGAACGCAAATGGAATGCGTTTTTAAAGATGGCAGCACGCATCGCATGAATTAATCAGTGTCATAAATGGCCTGAAAAAAAAAATCCCCCGACACCAAGAAAGAGAGTTCGTCGCGTAGAAACGAGAAGCAACGCGCAATCGCAGAAGTGAAGGCACTCCAGTAACGTTATTTCCCTGTCAGGTCAGATTCCAACAAATAAGCAGTGAAGAAAACCTTTCCTCCGCGACGCGGAATCCATCTCGAAACTCTGCGTCATTAAAAATCTCGATGGGATTTGATTTGTCCGCAATGACTCCTCTGTACAAGGGAGGGTGGGGCACGATGAACAACGGGGCACGATGAACCACCCTCTGCAGCACTTAAAAAATCGAAGACGCTACCATGAAATTCATATGTATGATTCATCATGCTTGTGAAAATTTATTTTAGTGATCTTGAGCCATTTCGTGCTCTTGTTTCCGTATAAGTATTTAAAAAATTAAGAAAACTGCATATTTGAAGGGGGGGGGGGAGTCTTACAGATAATTTTGGCTTAGGAGGACGTAAGGAAGGGCAGTCTTTCGGGACTAGACTTTGTAGTGGCCTTGTCATTTGGCTAAATTTTGACGTAGTGCACATTCCGTTATCATCGTTTGTTTCCTTGCCATTCATGGAATTGTTGAAAAAAATGAGTGGGACACCAACGACGATGCCGCAACATTCTCTTTTCTTTTACAGTCGAGTTCATCAAGTTTACCACTCGGATTTGTGGTAAATTATCTACCTCCAGAGTTCCTGGCGCTCCAAAGGTGATTCCGAAAAATGCTGCACAACAAGTTGTCGGACAGATTGTTTCAGCCGAGCGAGGCGATCTATCGGATTCAGACTGATAGTAAAAGTCTTTCTGCAGTCATTGTTTCCTATGAAAATGCTTAAATGCTTGGAACATGCTCCGCAATGCCCTTGAAGGATCCTCGGGGTCGGTCCGTCCATCTTGGTGGATGACCACCGAAATCTAGCATGTGCTTTAGGCAAATCCAAAGGTTCACGCGATGAAGTCGAGAAGCCCTAGTTCTTTTGATTTTGGGCAATCGTGACAGCCATTTGGATATTCCAAGTCATGCTATTTCTCAAGAAAAATGTTATCATTATCTTGATATTGCCCCCTGGAGCCTTTGGACGAGACAGTTTGCAACCCTTATAAAGCGTATCTGGAAGCTGTGGGAAACTTTTTGGACGGTGAGAAGCCAGGGACAGGGAGTTCCCCTTTCCGCAGTTGTCATCCAAGAGACTAAGGTGACAATGCCACGTTATATGAAATAGAAACGGTGATTTAGAAAAGGTCCATCGTGCCCCAGGAGTGGGGACTACCATGAACCATTTGAATATATTCATTTCGAGAATTTCCGTACGGATTCAGACTGCACTCTGAAGTCCTACTTTGGAGATATGTTGAGGCAATAAATGACAAATTTTTTGGGGAGTTTACGGCACAACTACCTTCTTCAGGACCAAAAATCTAAATGCCCCACCCGCCCTTAACGCAAAATGTCGGTTTAATACGAGGCGATACCAATATAGGGTAAACCTACCTAATTTTGTGATAGTGGCTATAGCCATTCACAGAGTTAACTGTTATAGTTTATGTAATGCCACGAATGCCCGTTTGATGGCAGCACTATGTATCTATTGATGATGCATCAATCTATTAATAAATACTAAATTTATGTCAGTATGCATCACATAAGCATAGTTTCATTTTCACCAAAGTTTCAGTATCAAAGAATTGGGTAGGTTTACCCTGCATGATGAAAGCCGTCCATTGCGATTGCTGAAAATAATCCAACATTATCGACGAAAGAGGACCTCTAGAACTGCTCCTTTATAATCGCGAACCGGTGTCTACATATAATGTAGCATTGCGGATAATTTTCGGTTAAAAAATCGCTTCTTTGATAATAGAGTATTTTCCCCGAAAATAAAGCTACATTATCGGATGATGCTCGGTTCAAAAATCCACCCCTAGCCTTCATTATTGGGCTAGGAACTCACGGGGGAGAGAAAATCCAATAGAGACTTCATCTATCGAAACACTTGAACGTACACGCGCTAGAACTCGATAAGCTCGAGGAAAGAGCCAAGAACTGACTTTGAGTTCGACTCCAGCCGGGACGACGATGGGACGGAAAGAGAGAGAATGAGGGCAGATGGGAGTCACCATGACGGCCGGGACGCTCGGGTGGATCATGGATGCCCCAGCCGCCACCGCATACGCCGTGCTTCCAGTCGGCGTGGACACGATCAGTCCTGTGCAAGAGACACAGACGGTGACGGTTCGCGCGGGGCATCCCGTGTCGACGGGTGGAGTGTCAGTACCATCCCCTTGGACGGACGTGATGAGTTTCCCGTCCAGGTACAGGTCGATGTTGCACAGGTAGGGACTCGGTCCACGATCGATCACCACCTCGTTCAAGACGAGGAAACTCGTGCTCGAGTGCCCTTTCGGAGAACGGGTCAGTTTCCCGTCTTCTCCTTTGCGCATCAGCAAGCACCTCAAGCGACTTCGCAGGGTCAGTGCCGCATGCCCTGCGTCGGAGAAAAACGTTGGGAACGATCGCGTGCGAGTCGGGCGACCGAAAGACCAGGTTGTGCCTTACCTTCGAGAACGTGAGTGACCTGCTCTTGAAAATTGTCAAACTCGAAGGGAGTGAGGAATCCCAAGGATCCCAGATGGAATGCCATCACGGGAGGCACAGATTGCTGGAAAAAGAGAACATAAAGATCCTCGATTGATTCCATCCCATCTCTCCTTCGAGACAGCTAACAGTGAGACACGAGACAGTCGTCTCGCTCAATGATTACCCACGAAATTTATACGACTCGGGCGGAACCAGAAAGACTCGCCGCGTTCGAGATTCAAGGTGCAGGCATCCTTACTCTATGGTTCCACCTCAACATTTGGAAGATCAGAAAAAAAAACCACCTTGACATCTGAACGCGCCTTGACATCTAAAGATCCACTTTCGTGGGAGCCCAAGATCGCCACCGACAGAGCCATCGCGACGGTATGAGATTCAGCAAGCCCAGTCAACAATGAGACAAAATGCCAAGAGGCTGCCCTAGTAACATGTAACATAGAGTCAACATTGAATCAATGTTGTTTCAATGTTATATGCTACTAGGGCGCACTTCATCGGTTCATCAAACTTCTGAATCTCGACCACAATTAATTTTTTAATTTCAGGTTTTTTGTTTAAAACCAGAAAAAAGCATCCTTTTTCGCCCAATCAGGCATTCTCGGCCAATACATGCTCAGAAGTAAAAAATTCTCTGTAAAGCTTCCTCATCGTGGCAAGAATTTCAACAAAAGCGAAATCAACACATGGCTAGCCCACGTGTGCCCATCGAGTTATCGTCGGGGTCGAACAAAAGCGGGAACAAATTTTTTTTTAAAGGTGGTTCTTTAATAGAGGCTTTCATTAATAGGCTCTACTAAACTTACTTTGTGCTGCTTCGTTAGGCAATTCTATGGATATAGTGCTTCGTTTAGCAGTTTTTCGCAATACATGCTCAGAAGTAAAAAATTCTCTGTAAAGCTTCCTCATCATCTGCCTTGGAGGTGATGGCACACTTCTCTACGCCTCCTCCTTGTTCCAGGTAGCCTGCACCACTTTTTGGATTCAAATGCTATTTAAATGTCGATCTTCCGTGACTGTGAATGCCGTATAATTCGCTCCCCCCCCCCCCCCCCCCCCCCTCTCCCCTCCATCCATCCCACCCTACCCGAGTGCAGAATGGAGCCTCAGACGTAGAAAATTATCACAACAATGACCTCCTTCTTCACAACTCGAACGCTTCACTCTTCCATGCTACCCCTTGGCCCAGTAATGGAGGGAATTCGAGTTACTCTTTTCATCTCGTTTATTTTCCCTTTATGCAATCTCGGATTCCGCCGGCGGGCGTTTCAAAGGGATTTTCTATCAACGGAAACCTGACTTGATTGAATGTAAACGGCGAAACAACACATAGCAATGGAATGAACCAGCGATGAAGTTAGGGAGAGGAAAGTAGGATCTAGGCGTATTAAACTGCAGTGGTTCAGTCAAGAGAATCTATTTCCACCTGAACACGAAGCCAGCGATCAGCCATGCTAGTGGAGGATAACTGAAAAGAGGCAACCTAGATTGCCGGGTTGCTCTTTTCCATTTTTTCCTGTACCTAGTCAGAATATAACCGAATGATTATATTTTAAAAAATCTTAAACAGAAGCACCATGAATAAGGCAAGAACCATCCTATATCATAAAAAACGTCAGTTTGCCCAAAATATACGGCATTCACAGTCACGGAAGATCGACATTTAAATAGCATTTGAATCCAAAAAGTGGTGCAGGCTACCTGGAACAAGGAGGAGGCGTAGAGAAGTGTGCCATCACCTCCAAGGCAGATGATGAAGTCGATTTTGTCCGTGAGATTATCTTTGCCTTCTTGGAAGGTCTTGAGCCTGTCTTTGAGCTGGAGGAAGGCGGGCATCTGAAGGAGCACCGGGTCCTCGACCACGAACGCTTGCACCATCACGACCATTCGTTTCTCCTGTTTAGATCCACGCATTTTTCTCAATCATTTATGATGGTTGCACTCCTCTCCGATTTAGTTTCTCGCACCAAAGAGTATTATTCTTCTCTGAATAAACTTCCCACTGGCAAACATGCGAGACATTCACCAAGTTTCGGTCGAGGCAACAGCAAAAATAATATTCATCGATTGTATTCAACGTAGTGCAAGACACATTTCCAACGATTTCCTGTGACTGGTCGCAACCAGCCAGGAGAAGATTCCATTCTAATGTGAGGTTCCCTCATTCCACTTCTCCAATCCGGTCCGAGAACGAATGCGTCAGAGTTTCGTCGAGGAGAAAGAGCACGGTAAATTAGTGTTGAGATGTAAATGCATAAGCTACTATGGGATGGAGGATGGAGACTGGAATCAACGGGAAAAGCCTCCCCGCCTGGCCCATGGAAGAAATCACGTTTAATCTGGGAGGGTAGTTCAAAACTTGTTCATAACTTCCAATACCCCCCCCCCCCCCCCCCCTCCCCCTCCCAAACTGTGAGTAGTAATTATGAACTTCACGATTGGAATATCTCAAATTGTTTTCTCTGGGGGAAGCAAGTGGTCATAGAAGAAGAAAGTGGATGTACAAGGGGGAAACAAGCGGTTGTAGAAAGGGGAAACAAGTGCCTGCTAGTGGAAACAGGCGGTAGAAATACCTTCATTGGCATCACTGTTTAGAGAGAAAATAAGATAGTGAGATAGAGAGGAGTGCAGCTGATTCCCACCTTCCCTTTCCCAAACACATTCCACTTCGCATCACGCTGCTATATGCGTCGTATTCTCATGGAATTCTATTGAATTCTCCCAAGAATTCCTCATGCAAACGACGATGTCACCCGACTTCACGTTCGTAGCTCGTTGAAGTCCAGTGAAGCGGATAAGGAAACACGCGAAGAACTGTTACGGATCCTTTCTCACCCTTCCCACGGCCATCATCGAGACAGTGGCAAACATTCATTAAAATGTTAAATCGTTTACGCCGAGTGGAAATTTGTCCTTGGGATTCCCGTATGAAACACGGAAGACCTTGACACGTACGTGCGGGTGTCATGTCATGTCATCTGTTCATGATACTGCTTTAAAAAGGCATTTAAATGGTATTAGCGCCCATCGGCTCGACCAAAAAAAAGGACCTACTATTGCTTCTCAGTGACACGTCTAACAAATTTTTGTCTTTTTTTTTTGGCAGGAAGTGGAGTAGGGAATCCTCTTAGGGATCCGGGAACGTGGAGCTTCCCACCTTTCTTTGGTTGTTTCTTTCAGTGACACCTCTTTATATCGCGTCATCCTGTTTTTTTTTATTATTACTTTTCCTAGGAGGAGGCGTCAGCACTTAAACGTTACATGCAATAGTCGATTGCCTCAGAGAAGAAAGGTGCAGAAGAAAGGTAGTTCCTTTGAAACGGTGGAAAGTCAGAAGAAAGAAGACGAGATCCGGGAGCGACCATCGCAAGAATCCTGTTGCACGGAATGGATGCCAAAGTCATCGTTCGTGCCAGACGTCTCGAGGAGGCAGGCCTGCTAGTCGAATGAATTTTACGAGTTTGCCGTTTCGAAGCCTTTCTCTCCGTCATTCTAGATGAGCGGTTCTAAATCGTGCAGGGGCCAAGGACTCCAAGGAGTCTACGAAACCAGGCCCAGAAAAAAAAATTAATATGAAGGAAATAATAAAAAAAAGAAAATATGAAGGCATCGTATTGAGTCTATGGAATGAAATATTAGTTCAATTATGTGAGCCTTATTTTTTTTTTAAGGATCCACTTACGGTTCCATCCTCTGGTTTTATCTTACATTTGTCATTAAATGATAACTCAAAAAGTATTGATCTCATGACTGTCAAAATAAGAAGTTGGACACAGACTAGTATGCGACAGTCCGTTTTATCAGTGTCGGCACAAAAAAGACGGCGCATTTCCCTGCACCCAACTCTTCTACAATTCTAGCGCCACATCTTTTCGATTTAAGAAACTTAAAAGGTCAAGAAATTAATTATTGTGATGATTGAGACGTAGAGTGAATGAGTTTTTGCCCCATGGAATTTCATTCTTCTTCGCTGAATGGGTGCTTCGTTCAAATAAGCTTTCTCCGCAAGTATTTTCTTTGCTATTCCTTACTTTATCCACAGTGGACTAACACTCGCAATTCACATCTTCAGGTCGTTGGGAAACGGAGACCGTCCAGAAATGGTGAGAACGGTTGAGAAACGCAGCTATAAACGAGACTAAAGCACGGGAAGAAATTTTCCCAGAGGAAATATTTAAAAAAATGTGCGAGTCGTATTTAACGGCCTGAAAATGTGCATCCTTGAGGAGAAATGTTCTCCTGTTCGGGGTTATTTCACGAATCGTAATTGAAAGAAGAGCGAAATGAAATATCTCCCGGATTCACTGCCTTTTTCAAGGTTTCTTCAGTCACGCCATCTGGTCATTTGCCAGACGCGTGTGGGAAAAAAGGGAAGAGGCGCTTTCGAGCCCGGGAGCGAGAGCCCGAGCCGGAACCAGAGCAGGAAGCTGTGCCTCGGTGGCACCAGGGGGCAGGCTCCGAACAAGCGTGGATCCATGGATTCATCATTCGCTCTCTGGGAGGGAAGGAGAGCTCGTGACTCACCTCGATGAGCCAGGTGATGAGCTGAAGGAAGGGAGGGTTCACGGACCCGTCTCGAACTTTCTTGATCACCAGCACGGTCAGCGGGGGTTTGTACCAAGTGAGGCGCTGAGACGCCGGGTCTTGGATTTGCCTGCACGGACGGTCGTACGACTGTCACCGAGTCCGGGGAGAACGAAAGGAAAAGTGCGAGGACTCACATGATCATGGCGGAGTTCTTCATGATCCTGCCACATGGCCCGAATTGGTGGAAGGGGCTCGGCGCGTTCAGAGATCGGGTCCTCCTGCAATCGCAACAGACGAAACACGGCTTCACCACTTCCATCGCGCAAAGAGTCGTCAAAAGCGGACGGGAAATGGGGAGGAAAGGAGAGAGAGAGAAGAGGAGGCAGAAGCCGAGAACGCCGCCTTCCAGTCAGTCAGTCGCGGCGGATGCCTCTCATTCACAACTCTCTCGCCGGGCTCCTCCAACCTTCAACACTGTGACGAGGCAGAAATTCTTCCTGCCACGCCTCGGGCTCATCATCATCGGCCCTAAATACCGTATCTGCACGAGAAACTCCGACCCTTTCTCTCACCTTCGCTGGATTTCCCACCCTTGAACTTGCATTCCGGTCCCACCACGCCTCACGGAAACGCATTCTCCCCGCCCGAACAAACGTCTAACAGCATCGATATATCACGCTTTTTGAACCGTCGGTCGATGAATGCCCCCCGCCCCGCTCCTCCTCCTCGTTTATCGCGAGAGAGCATCCATCATCTGCCTTCATCTATCTCCTCGCTATCATCTCATCATCGCTCTACAATTATCTCATCGTCTATCTCCAGCCATATATCTCTACGATCGTGTCGCGAACACGAATTTTAATGGCTTAATGGCTTCTCTAATATTGCAAGCCAGTCGTGACAGACATTCCATCGTAATTCCCATGCATACAACCATTTTGCTCTCATTTCTATCGGACAACCCCTTGGCATTCAGAAACCGTATAAGTAATCTTGACTCGTCAGGTAGAACTGCTCCTGCAGTTCCACGCGGGCGGATGTGATAATAAGCCTCACATAGAAGCAAAAAAAAAAACGAAAGTGCCAGTCATCTTCGGGGAAATTGAAATGCCAAGAGAACCAGGATCAGACATTCTCCGATTTTTTTCACTTTTAAGAGCTCGTATGCTAGCCTCTGCAGCTACTCTTACGATGTCGTTTCATCGGCAACGACAAAAATCCTCAAGTCGGCAGATTCTCAGAACGACGAAGCGTCTGAAACGTCCCGTACACGAATCACGAATCGCACCCGTAACAGACCGACTGACTTTCGAAATCGACGGAAATAGCACGTAAATACGTAGGCTGGCGACAAATCGGAACGAGATATTTTCGGGCTTTCATTTCTCGGCGGGATTCGGTCGGCCACCGGACGAGACGTTTGGCGTTCGCTGTCTCTTTACCGGCCCGAAGGACCGGTAAAGGTACCTGACCGAAGGACACATTCGGGGAAAACTCTCTCCCGTCCAGTTCCAACACGAGACCTAGCATTGTGCCAAAATTCATCTCTAAACCGTCGATAGTTTTCAAGCGGGAATAACATTTAGCGAATCCAAAGCAGGCGACCCAGGGGCTTTGCCGCTTCGCAAATCGCAGCAGAAGCTGCTCCAGAAGATCGGTTTCGAGGAATTCAATTTAAAGATTTGCAATTTGATGCCGAGCAAGCTGCAAGGTGCTTGACTCCCATTTGGTGCAAACATTTCGTTTTTTCTCAACATTGAATGAGCTCATGTAAATGATGGAATCGCATCGATAAATCATATTTTGAAAAATGGCGGGAAAAAGCAAGCAAAGTTCCTTTTCTGGTCGTTACCTAGGGGAATTCAATTGCGCGCCAAAACTTCAGCACCCGGAGGATTATTTATTTGCAGTGAGAAACGTGCCTCCTGGAAACATTCATGTCGACCTCAGCTAGAGAATTTGGTAAACAGAACGTGGAGCCGAAGATTTCTCAGAAGTGTCTTACATCTCGTGCCTGTTTGGGTTTTTTGACTCAAAACCTTGGGAAAATTCTCGTACTTTATCGACCGAAGAGGCCCGAGTACTCAAAATTGGAGTTATTTAAAATATTCGCAGCCACGACTGTCGCCATGCGACGCGTCTGTCACCTCGTGAGCCACTTATCGAGCCACTTCATGAGCCACTTCATGAGCCACCTCATGAGCCGTCGGAGCGACAGGATTCATCGGAAATAAAGAAATTCCTCGCCGATCTCCTGCGCCAAGACCAAGATATAGACCAAGACATGGACCAAGACCTTCACCTAAGGGCAGATACAGACCATCATCCAAGGTTCGAAAGTATATTTTTTTTTTACTTTTTAGCATTTTCTTATTTGAATTTCAAGCATTCTACCCACCATGTAACTTGCGTTTAAAATACTCCAAGGCGAGCATTTCGTATTCGTAAAATTTGCATCATACTGATGAAAATACGAAATATTTGATGTAAATACATCGTAAATTGATGCAAATTGTAAAGTAAATTGATGCAAACGGCAAATAATGCGAAAAGTACTCAAAACGCATTTTAAAATAAAATAATTGTATTAAAAGAGTCCGATAGTCACAGCAGCCACTCGCGACAGATTTACAACGTTGCACTCGGGAACGGAAAGACCGACGGACGAGAACCCGCAGAATCCTAGTCGAGACGAGAAAGATCGCAGAGAGAAAAGCGTTATTCCCCGCCGTCACCCGAGCCGAAGCCGAAAGCAGCCACACCGAGTCACCCACGAAAAAAAAAAACTACCGAAGCGGCAGAGTCTCCCCGTGCGACATGGAACCGTGGAAACCGAAAACAACCGCCGACGACCGGGGAATCCACGACCGCCACCTTCCACGACCGCCACCTTCCACCCTCACTCCACCTTCCACGGCATGCACTCGCACCCCCCTCCCTCTCTCGAAGCACTCACGGCCAAGTCCCGGATCGGCGCGGAGACCCCCTCCGGGATTTCATCCGCCGATCCCCGTCGTCCCAATTAAACCCTCGCCCCTCCGATCGATGCAGGAATCCCATGGCAACACCCAGCGAAGCACTGTCTCCCTTTCCCCGCTCTCACGCACCCCCCTTCACGCAACGCGATCCTTCCCGACCTCGACGGAGTCATGGGACCCGACTCCTCGAGCGGCGCGGAGCGAATCGCGACGGACGACTTCCCCCGCCCCTCGGACCCCCCAACCCCTTGCGTCCCACGACGACCGCGATGACGTAACGGACACCTCCCTCGAAAGTGAAAGTTCCTTTCCGCGCCCTCGAGATGCCGCTCTCGCCGTGTCATCGCGATGTCCGTGAGAGATAAACGGTCTCGAGACGGCCGAGCGTTTCTCGGAACTCCACCCACATCGTCATCGGCATCGGCATCCTCATCGGCAATCGATGGAGCAGCACGAATCGTAGGCAAACACTGCATAATGGAAGGACCTCAAGGACCTTGACCTCGGGCTCCCGTCCCGCCCGACGTTCCTGGACGACTTCAACCGCAGGGTGGGATACGGTATCACCCTGATCTTATATCATGAGCGTTTTCAACTTATGGATAAATTTTATTTAAGCACAAAAAAATACTTGCGGGTCCCCGTCGCCAACGCGGCTGTGCCTGGCTAAAAACGCAGAAATCACGCACGCACGCACGGAATCGCAGCCAATCGCGACACGATCATCGTCGGACGAACGCCTATGTTCCGGCGAAAGCAAACGCGTTCTATCCATTTTTACATCTTATTTTTGTAATTCTCATCAAATTTGTCACATAGAAGAGAAACTTGACATTGCCGAGTTTAAAAGTCACATCGGCTTTCTTTCCGTCCATACATCGCGAGAGGACTTCAATCAGCAATCAACGGGACATCAATTAACAATTTCATCACAAATTGGATCGAAGTTCGCTTAGATGCAAAAAAAAAATCGAACAAAGTTCTAAGAACTTTTTCAAGAACGGTTCAGAACTTTTTTCGATAATTTTCCGACTCGGTTTCCGATTTTTCCGAAAGCCGCGAGACTGGAAACTGTTCCGAGCAATTACGTTAATTAATTAGAGGAAATTAGATCAGTCAGTCGATAGAGAAGTCGACCACTCCACTTTCACGATTCAATCTAAATCCAAATCTGATTACGACTTGGATCGATCCAAAACTGCGTACCAGAGGTTCAGGCTCGGTGCCCGAAGTGGTAAGAAATAATAAGGTTATTCCTTAAATAGTTTCTTTTCCTTAAATATTAATGTCGCTGGGATTTCAGTTTGCGTTGGAACAGTCGTCATGCGGCAGCAACACTTCGTCTCTCCGTTAAAAATGCCCATTATTGACTCTCGTGCCTGCTTATTCCCCTCCACCGTTTCACGCGCACGTGCTGAATCTCGACTGCACGACGCGAGAGACATCTGGTGTCGGTCGAGCGAAGTCGTCTCACGGACGGGGATGGCGTCCCCGTCCTTCTTCCCGCCCGCGTGCCCTTTGGTTGCTTCTCCAGGCAAAGGTCAGAGCGAAGTCTCCGCGTCCGTGAAGGCCGGTCCCACAGAGGGAGAAAGTGACGGTTTCGTAACCCGCAATTCCAAAGGCGCCGATCCATATTCCAGCCGAGAACGCTCGGCTCCGTTTTCCCGATCGGGAACGAAAACGACCGACTCGGTCGGTTCCGAACTTTAATTTCGCAGCGAGACCCGAGTGATTCCACTTCATCCCCGACCGCGACTTTTCATTTTTAGTCAAAATAAGCTTTCAAGAAGCTTTTCCTGAATAAATCACGTAGCTCTGTTTTGCTTCAGGAACGATTTCCTTGTTCATATGATAGAAGCATGACACAAGCTTTGGCGTGCATTGGCTTTGGCATGAACCGTCGAGGCATTTCTCTGAGCACGTTCATCATATGGCATCCCGCATTATTTATTTATTTATTTATTTATTTATTTATTTACGCTTCTGATGCACGTTGAACACCTGCATTCCACTTCTTCCTACTATTGGCAGATGTATCCGCCCTCTCACTTTCGTGTCGGGTGCCTCTGCACGTCTGTGCTGGCTTCTGTCCGTCCGCATTTTCGCGGTGCGACGACGACTGCCGTCGTGAAATTTGGCTGCTGGCTCACATGGGTCGAGTCCGAAAGCGGAAAAACTCATACTCCCTTTCCCTCCCCCGGTCGCAGGAACATTGGAAAGTCGTAACACTGTCTTCAACTCTTTCTGTCATTTCATATCGTTCATTAATAGTTTTAGTCTTTGTTTCGCTTGAGTCCAATTACAGTTAGTCTCCAAATAAATTTTATAAACTGAAAATAAACTGGTTAAATGCGTACCCATTAACTGGAGATGAGCTGGAACTGGCGGTAAGCTTTAAGTACGGGTAATCTGCATATTATTTGTTGGTAAACTTAAACCAACACCAATCGGAACCATTTTCCAGCATATGCTTCCGTTCCGGTTTATTCCCGTTCTGTTCATTTAACGCCATTTTGTTTCCAGTTCAGTCGCACCTCAAGTTTCAGTTAATGTATAATAACTGAACTGAAAAAGTGCACATAGGTTTAGTTAA